AGTGGATGACTACTCAGAGACTTCTTTCTAGTGATCAAAAGGTTGAAGAGCTAGATCTTGAAGATAAGAATATACACAAAGTATGGCTTTTATGAAAGTCCAGACAAATTTTAGTTGGAGCAATTTTATAACCTATTAGTGATTAAGACTTTGGCCAGATAGCTTTGACCAAATACTTCCCAAACTTAAGCTTGCTTATCAAAATGTGAGAGGCATTTACCAAGTTAGGAGTGGAAGAAAATTTGATTTACACTCCTGATCAGCTGTTTCGGAGTCCATCTTCACTGACGTATTCATAGATTTCAGAGCAGTGGTGTGTGTGTGTGTGTGTGTGTGTGTGTGTGTGTGAGAGAGAGAGAGAGAGAGAGAGAGAGAGAGAGGACGTCATATCTTTTCTAGTTGTTGATATTTGTTTCATTAGTGAAAAGGAAATAGGATTTTGCTTTTACTCCTGCCAAGAAGCCAGGCTTTATAATCTGAGAACACTAGGCGGCAGGATGAGACTGCAGATCCCCAATTCCTCAACCACCAAACATTCGCTGCTTTTTACAGTTCTCCAGAGTTCCTACTAAAAGTATACCGTGTGACTCTTTAACATCTGCATATGTGTACTACAAATTTCTTAACACTTGTAAATACTTATATTCTAGAGAACATGGTTGTGGGAATTTATTTTGATGAATGAAAATTTGAAAAAAAAAATAGAATAAATTACAAATTGCTAAAAGCCTTCACAAGTTATATTAGTGACAATAGTTGAATAATAATGTCTTCTAATATAGGGAAAATTTAAAATATCTGTCATCTTTGAATTTAATGATTAGTTTGTTTGCAAATATAAAGTCGGCCATTTAAAAAATGAACTATGGGTCAAGATGTCAAATACAATACAACTTTCATTTTCCACAATGAAGATTAGTATTCAAAAATGTGAAGCATTTCACAACATGTCCAGCATAAATTGATACCATTAGAGGAGAAAGCATCGTTTTCACTGTGATCTGACTCTGCTCCAGAAATAGAATGAATTATTTTAAACCTTTCTGGGAAAGGAGATTTTTGGGCCTCCAATGAACTGCTCATACTTCAACTCTTGTTCTTCATTTACTACTTGTCCATAAAGACAGAGCCATGGAACAAGAGCGACCACATGTAATTTCTTACCCAGACGGGAACACTCCTGAGCCTGGAAGGGGTTCTTCCCTCGGAACTGAGAAATAAAACACTCAGCCGAAGACTGCTTGCAGCCAGGGAGCTCACTTCACCTTACTTAAACCAGGAATGTCTAAGATTTTAGGTCTAAACCCATTCTACTTGTTCTATCTCACGCCGCATCTGCCTGTCCTCTTTCTTCTTCCAGTAGACTCTCACGAATACCACCAATCGGACAACACTAAGAACTACGAACATTCAAATCTACCAAGGCGTATCAAGAAAGAGGCTTTTTGAATAGGTAAATATCTGGTTGACTCTGATGTAAGTGGATGCTCTTAGGGAACGCATCAGGAAATGTTGTAAGAAATACTACAGGCTCATGAAATTGCTGTTGTTATGTGGATGACATGCATGGATTGCTCACTTTACATACAGCTTTTGCACTTGTGAAAATTTTATGCACAGGAAGCCTTATTAAAGCATTATTGCTTACCTTTAATACATAATTTGTACAAACATGATAAAAATTGGTTCTTTGGTTTTGGTCACAGCGTACTCACTCTCTGTGGACGTGGTGTTGGGTGAAAACTGTTTTACCAAATGCAATTAATTATCCTTTGCTTTCAAAGAAGTCTTAACAGTACCTGCTAAGTAAAGTAGTAAACGCTGAAGCCAACTTGTTATCTTAATAAACTTTCTTTTGATTTAAGTGTGTAAGACTTATGAGTTTCTCAAATAGTGAATTCTTCTAAGGGATGAAGCAATTAAACTTTTAATTACATCAATGATTTAAAGATAAATAATGAATTTTGCATGATTAGAAACACAAAACATTGCTAATTTAGAATATAATATCCGACAGCATCCACAAACTATTTTTAAATGCTTTCTTTGACCGCCTTGCACGTTCTCTGGGAATGGTCTATCTATAGCATGCTCCATGTAAAAAAGTTTTGTTTCAGTTGTTCTTAAAGAGAACCATGTTTCAAGGCAGTAGCTACAGAAACTCAAGCGGTCAGTTAAGTCAGCCACGATTTTCGTTCTAACTGGTTTAACTTGTGGCTGTAAGAGCTTGTTTTGAATCCTCCTGATTAATTGCCTTGTGAGGCAAGGGCCGTTTTGTAGGGGAACCATTTGCCTTATTTAGAGACACTGGTACTTCTGAGCCCCATAAAGGACCAAAATGGAAGATGTAAGTCCTGCAGTAAAATTTTGAAGTGGGCAAACTTGGCTGTTCTTCAAAAGGCCTTTCATTTGTGTAGTGTTCTTCACTAGACAGAAAAGTGGACTGGAAGCTCTCTGCATGGTTCCTGCCACTATGTGGCTGTACTGGTAGCATCATCTACTAATGACAGAGAATGTGATTTCTTTATTATTACGTAGACAGCATTCTGTCGCATGCTGCCTACAGGCAAGAAGAGGGCACCAGATCTCATTACAGATGGTCGTGAGCCACCATGTGGTTGCTGGAGTTGAACTCAGGACCTCTGGAAGGGCAGCCAGAGTTCTTAGCCTCTGAGCCATCTCTCAAGCCCCTGAGAATTTGGTTTCTTGAATGCTTTTCACTGTCTTTTACATGACAAAACAGAAGACACTTCTTAGTTGTTCTTTATTTCCTAAAGCAGAGTTATTTTGAGTGCTTATCTGAAACTATAAACTTGATCACTACTTATCAAATGATTAAGCAGCTTCACTGTGTTCTGGGAAAGGTCACAAATAAGACACACGTGGGATCTATATGACTGGATGGTTGCATTAGCAATACCTGTTGGCTCAGAATTGCCTCACTGATTTCTGGAAATGGCATAATTTCGTTTTACTGTAGGTATCCAAACATTTGTTGTCATGTTCTCCATTTGTAAGAGCTCCTTGTACACCTATCATACAGGAAGAATGGTCACTGGGTTGTGAGTCTCCAGGCATCATCTCAGAGAAAGAATTCCTTTCTTTACGAAGACTCTGTTTCATTTGAGCAAATCCAATGAATGAATTAAAAGATGTTAATGCTTTAACATTTACGGAAATGTGTGTAGCTTTCTACACGCCAGTCTGTCCGGCCAAACATTCTTAGAATGAGATATATGAGCATGGACTGCGATCATTTGGAAGTTAAAACCTAGTATTTATTTTACTCTGGGCTTTACATTGTAAACACCCTACCTAGAAGTTCTGTCAAGATCACCCCAGCAAGCGTGAGGACCTGCATGGGTCGTAGCCACTCTATTTCTTCACTCCTTGTTCCCTGTGCGCTTGGGACTCCACATCAGAGCTCTGCCTAGGCACCCAGGAATGTCTTTGTTGTTCTTCTGATTAATGGTTATTATTTAAGGAGGCAGCAGTGATTCACAGAGTTGATTTTCCTCCTTAAGAGTGGAAGGAAACAGCACAACAAAAATGTAATATAACAGTTCCCTAAAGAAAGCAAAACTAAAATTCTATACAAAGTAACTTCCCAATGTACCTCACGGGGTTACTCCGGCTCCTAAGGCTACTTTGTGTCATTTCAGCTTTTTATATAGCTCTTGCTATATGGGTGATTGATTGAGATTGTCAGTTATGTCTCTTACACACACACACACACATATATATCCTATTATATATGCATACATAAAATTAAAGATTTTGTAATGAATTTCTTCCATAGATCTAGATTGCAAAAGTTTAGAAAGACCACAGCCACATGCTATTCTTAGATTCTGTAGCCTCTGTCTTTACTTCCTTTCCTAATCTGCAGGGACTCCGGGCTTCTCAGTTTGATACTATTAGCCTGTGCCTTTGAGCTCAGTCCTGTGAGATTTTCTTGCTCAGAAGAGTAGCTTACAACTTTCTAAATGTTATAAAATATGTTGATTCAAAGTTTAAAAGATATAAAGAATTCTGGATATTATTTCGTCCTTTGTTTCCGGTTTGCAGGTGAGAAATTTGGTGCCAAGGTCATGTGACTTTTAGTATTGTCTGGTTTCAGGAGTTATGATTATTGCCAAATCTCATAATTTATCATATAATCATATTAGACAAAACTAACTAACAATATATTTCAGGTTTACAGTTTTTTCCATACTAATACTCAATGTTTTCTTAAAATACTTATGATACAATTATGTTTAGAGATAAAACGTTTAGAAAAAAATTAAAGTTTTTACTATATAAAATTATTTCAGTGTATTATGTTACAAAATAGCCACAAAACTTTTTTTTTAAGTTTATTTTGAGATAAATATAATGTTTAGGTTATATGCAGTGACGTAATCACATCAAATTTTTAAAAGTATGTACAATGATTTTACACTCTGTACCCAAACTGACTTATAATACATACACATATACTTATGTCATGAATGAGTAAAAGGAGTTTTTAGAAAGAGCAGGCCAAAGCTGCTTGTGCAAAATTGATTGTGGAACTGGATCACAAATCAGTGCTCCGAATTACTGAGTCTGAAGTAATTCTGATGCTCACAACTCCATGCGCAATTCAGAGAAAGATGTGACAGATAGCATTGGTTCCGTTTGCTCCGGGAACTCTAATTCAACCCCCCCCCCCTACATTTAGACTGCCTTCAAATCACAGTCAGCAAGTTCCAACAACTCAGTCTAGGTGAAAGCCAGCCAGCTTTGGCTGGTAACAATGTGCTCATACAGCAAAGGATCTCTGTCTGTTCAGGCTGCTTCTTGCTCTTGTCAGAGGGAGAAGCTGAGCTGTAGCTGCTTTCCTGGGGTAAGCTATTTGAGACAGAAAGTAACCTAACACTAACTGCAGGCGGGGCGGGGTGATGTAACAGGAAGCGGTGATGTTTCCCTTCTGTGACTGATCACTTACAATCTGACAACACTCCCCATCTCCTCAGAGCAAGCCCTCTCTCTCCAGCGGCGCAGTCCTGCCTTGACTCAGGCTCCGCTGCTTGGAGCTCGCCCGCCTGCAGGACCACATTGCAAGGCTGAGTACTCTCCCGCACCTCGTCGCCTGGGAACTCTCTCCTGTGGAATCTCAGAAAATCAAATCCCTCCTGTGACTATTACACACAGAATTTCTTTAGAAGCTGTGCTTGGTAAGTGTATTACTCAAAAATATGTATTCTTAGCAAAATTCTCAGGTAGTTTGGCAATGTTTCTAGTGGCATTGAAATAATGTTGAGACCGCCTTTTTTTTTTTTTTTTATTCTACACAGGGAAACTAGAGAGTGTTACTCCAGAGTGCATACCAGATCTATTACTAGTGTATAAGAGTGTTTACAGCAGTGTTTAGAAAATAAAATTACCAACTAATAACAACGTGAATGGGTTGAAAGGCAAATTTCTGGACAAATTTTTGAATCCGGAAACAATACCATTTAAAACTAGTTCTGCTATTAGCTAAATTCAGCTCTGACAGCTGGAAAACATCTGCCTCTCAGGAAGGGTCTTTAAATTTTCCACATAATCAGTATTCTAAGGAAGGGGTAGCAGAAGACTCACCGGGTCCAAGAGCCTTCCTGTGTGATGGAACACAAAGCAGGACTTGTGTTCGCCTTTCACTTCTGTTCACACTCAGATCTACCGAATGGAGGGGATTCTCATTGTTCTTTGTTGCCTGATCTGTGTAAATACCTTTGCTTTTGTTTTGCCGTGTTCTTTGCTGTTGCTTGTTTGTTTTCTTGGTGGGGGTGTTCCTAAACTGTTTCCACTGTATTTAGATCATGTTTTACAAGTAAGGTAAGGAAAAACAAAAAAACAAAAACCAAAAACAAAAGCTACCTAACTTAAACAAAACAAAACAAAAAAACCCCAAACTGCCCAGTGTTGTTAAAAAAAAAAAATGTAGTGGTCTCTGCATTACTTCAAGGCTTTTAAACACTGAAGCCCAAGAGCTGTGTTACTTCAACGGCCCTTCTGCAAACTTTCAGGGAGGAATATGATAGGAGCTCTCTATAGATAGAAAAACACAGTGCTATGACAAGAGAGTGTATTAACTCCTTAAACCGAGGAATTCAGTTAGGTATTCAGAGAAGCATCGCTGGAACGATGCTGAGATGAACCATCTGTAGTCCCCTCTCCCACAGTACAGACTGTCCTGAGAACTTCAGAAACTAGTGTCCAGTTAGCAAGTGGTTGTTATGGAAGCATTGCAAATTATCGCCAGGGGATGTCAGACACCAGATTTGGATCCAAGTGGTGTTTATTAGCATAGTTATTGAATCCTATGTTTTCTTGTTCAAATGAAACTGTACACTGCGAGATGCCTTTCCACGCTAGCTGCCCTTCTGACCATAGCCACCCGTGGTCTGGCAAACAGTGTCTTACAGATTCATTCTCAATGATTCTTGGCTCTGTGTCCATACATGTCTTTCAATGTAATGGGAACATTAATTCGTACACTTGCAATTTTTAAAAACATTGCAGCTGATTTATGTTTTTAGGGTTATTATTATTATTATTATTATTATTATACTGGGTTCTCAGCTGTGCAGATATGGATAAGGTGTTTTTAAGATGTGACTTTTTACAAATGCTCATTAAGTAATTGGAGAAAGAATCAACACATTAGATAACCTAATGCCATATCGTAACAGAAATTGAAACGCTTTATTCTATATTAATTAGGTATTATACTAATAAAATATTGTAAATTAGTAACTTCATGAACTCTTCTGATATTTGTTGAATTACTGCTCCAAAACATAATCATCTTGTATAATTTATTTAAATATAATTACCCACCTGTATTAATAACATTATTTAAAATAATCTTTATTACCAAAAACCGTAACAGAAAAATGCCAGACAGTGAATATTGATGGTCATTAGGCATAGACATCACTTGAGTTAATAACCGGGAGATTAAAATAAGAATTCATATCGTTCTAGAATAAATGTGGCTTTTAAAATAAATAAACAAATGTCTGAAAATGAAGCTATGTTTTTTTTATCTTAGTTTAACTCTACAGGAGATATGCCTTTTAGCATCCTGAAATCAGTGCCTATAGTCTGAGATAAGTCCTAAGCATGTCAAATAAAATACAGAATTCAGAAGCATCACATCTCCTGTGATCTGAGCTAGGTTTTCCCTAGATTGTTCTATTTGTAGCGTGGTATGTTTAGATGGCTGTTTGCAGCCAGTCCAGCAACAGCAATAGTGTTACCAGTCGGCTTACATTTTGATAGCCACTATTTATTTAGAGTTGTTTTCAAATTTTGCAGATAAATTAATGCAACTACCCTTAACGAACTGAAATAGGTATTCACTAAGCAAAATGTATTTCATGCTTCATAAGTGACTTTGAGTGAACCTAGTAAGTCTAATTCTTCTTCTAGAGGTACAATGATGTTACCTTTCCAGAATTCAGACCAAGTCCAAGCATCTATTTCCCTGTTTTTGTTTGGGATTTAGGAAAGCTTCTAAAGCACTAATGTAAGTCGTATCTTATGGCAGTCTTAATGGAAGGCAGGGGTCGCATCTCAAATTAAGTTGTGGTACAGCTCAGCTCCTGACTCATTCAGCTCACAAACCGTGAGAGAACAAACGTTTCTCTGCGCCCAGCTGTGAGGACCAGTTTGTGGGTGAACTCTAAACATGTATTTATTTTTGAATGTAGTCTTTTTCTACAAAGAACTATACTACAATATTAAATTATTTTAAAAATCTCATTTAATTTGTAAGAGTATCCCAATGCAATGGCATAGAGACAAAACTTTGCAAAACTCCAAATAAGACCTGTGTCCCAACCAGGCGTGCCAGTCTTTCCCCTCTTTGCTTGTATGGAAGTTCTCTTCCTGCCACGAGCATTCACTAAAGGCAGCTGCACAAACTCCAAGGATCTGACGTCTAATTTTTAGGTGACTGGAGAAAGAAGTGGAAACAACACATTAAATAACTCAATGTTTTTATTACTTTTAAATTCGTGTGTAACTTTGAATTGTATCATATTAAGTGGAACAGTAGGTAGAATACTTGCAAAATTTGAAGAATAAATAGGAAATTATCATGCTTAAGGAAAAATGAAAAACTTGTGAATTATATGCCATAATCATACTGTAATATTCACTTGACAAAAAGAAATACATTTTAATATTCTGTTGCAATTCTTTGGAAAGCAGAAATTCCTCAATAAATCCAGGTGATTTTTTTCATGTGTAATTAGTATTATAATATTTGTCAGTCAATTAGTTTAAGACAACTAGTCTCAAAACTTTTTAAGTTAATTCAGTTCTTAAGTTAATAAGTTATTTTAGAAAAAAGAAAAAAGTTTAATTTTTACAGGCACATTAAACGTTTTATTCCCAGCCAGGCTGTGGTGGCGCACTCCTTTAATCCCAGCACTAGGGAGGCAGAGACAGGTGGATCTCTGAGTTTGAGGCCAGCCTGGTTTACATAGAGAGTCCCAGGACAGCCAGGCTATACAGAGAATTCCTGTCTCAAAGAACCAAACCCAAACCAAACCAAAACAAAAAAACCCCCAAGCACCACCACCACCAGCACTCCCCACAAACTCAACAACAACAACAAAATCATTTTACTCTCTAATACTATTAAATAAATTTACCATTGGCTGTGAACTGAATTAGGGTCTCTTAGTTTGGTAGAATTATTATCACATGATAAATTTTATTTTTACAGAACACATTCCTTTATTTTTTTTCAGTTAGCTTCTTTCTGTAACACTATATTATGTAACACGAACACATTAATGTACTGTTTGCAAATATGGTCAAAATAGGGTATTAAGGTTTTTAAAAGTAAAGGAGTTTAATCCATACATGGTTTTAATAAATATGTGACATTTTTCTACCTTCTAGTCAATTAAAAGGACAAAATATCAAATTCACCTAAAGCAACATGAGTCAAAGAAATGGAACAACAAACAAGCAATTACTTACTAATCCTATGATATTTGAGTTATAATTTTCTCTTTTATTACTGTCTTTGGGTGGAACCTGTTTTTAAGAGAACTCTTGCTCCTCGTAGGACTGTGCCATTTTTTAAATTAGAAGAAACTGCCTTTGTAGAGCACACACTGTTGTAAAGACATTGTCATTATAGCTCTCTTCAAGCCTAACCTGAGTTAATTGTGTTTAACCTGAGTGCAGTTAGAATAAGCAGCAGGTTGGTTTGCAAGAGTGTTCTCCTTACATCCCAGTTCCCTGGAAGACCCTTCACGTGCTCTTGAATAGATAAGGCTGGCTTTAACAATGAGAACTAGTATAAATTTGTCTTACAGCCAAACACCAACCTGAGACTGATAACTATGCGGTTTTGTTGTGTATATCTAACTCAGTCTAGCCTACTAAGTAGAACTGGAAGAGAAAATTGAGACTTTGGTCAGAGTGTCAGGGAAGAATGAATGCATTGCATTTTTAATGAAATGATAAAGCTGTGGAAAAATAATTTCATCAGTACAAAGCTGTTATTAAGAATTATGCAGCTATGTTTCATTATGAGAGTCCAAAGAGAGACCTGCTTCATAAATGGAAACCTAACATTATAATAGCAGGTTTAGTATTTTATGGAACAGGCTGCCTATGTGTGCACCTTCAAGAACTTAATTTCAGTAAAGTTATATTTTAAAGATCTTTGTAAGAACATTCCAATATGCTTTATTGGCTAAGTCGAGAACAACTTATATGATTTGCCTTAGACATTCAGATATTATGTCCACACACGTGGCCTAGTAGACTCCAGCCCTTCAACACCCACACGTTAGCCTCCAGCTCACCCCTTGTTACTCTTCCTCCATCATCTATAAGCTGCGAGTGAGACTCATAGCTTCGTAAGGTCCAGTGTGATGTGGGGGAATACATGGGATGCGCTTAGCAGAATGTTTGCGTCTGAGTAGGTGCTCAATATGTCTCACAAACCATCAGATCTTTCTGTAATGCAACTGGAGCTGTAATGTGTATCTGCACAAAGGTTTGTTTTTTAAAACCTGCATTTAGACCATGAACAGACAGTCTGCTTATGTGATGGGGCCCGAGCAAGTGTAACTTACTATTTTAGTATTCAAAGGATTGTCCTGTCCCCACGTAGCATGTGGGCTTGTATGTGTAGTCCAAGCCCTTACAAGGCAGAGGCAGGAGGATTACCCCCGTGTAGAGGTCGGCTTAGGCTACTAATAAGCCCTAGGAGAGCATGGACTGCAGAGTGAGAAGCTGCCTGAAGTAAGTAAATAAATAACTGTCAAGATATTAGGGAAAATTTAGTGATAAATACTATAACATCCAGAGATGCTTAAGACAAAAAGGATATCGAGAATGACCCAACAAGCTCAACTTATGTGATTGAAAGTCTTCTTGGTTAATTGGGTTTTTAGGCTGTCTTGTAGTAGATATTTCTAATTACTTTCTAATGGTAAACACATGTTTTCTTATATATTAAAATCTCTCAAGAATACCCATGCAAGAAGATGGGAAAACACATTTAGTTTATGAAAGGGTTGAAGGCAATTTATTGTAAGAGTTTGCTTTTGAGTATTTGTGGATTATGACCTTCTTGAGAGTGGTAAAAACTGAAAACACGTTCTGTGGAGACAGTCAGCATGCAAACAAACTTCACTCACAGAGAGACATTGTTGACATCATTGCACGGATTCACAGGACTTCCTGTCTGATGGAGCTTGCTTTCCTGACTCTCATCCACAGAGGGGTTTCACATTTGCTTTGTCCAGACTACACTCTGCTGCTGTGGTGGTGGTGGACTCTGAGGAAGAAATCGTTCTTTTTGTCTTTTTGCATCATGGTTTAATCCCACAGGGAAGACCTCTATTATAGCTCAGTTGACTACATAGTTATTTCTACTAAGAAAATACTAGGACTGAACTGCAAGGCATTGGCAGAGGGATTAAAGGAAAGGAATTCTCACTGCTAAAGTATGAAAGGTTAAAGCTGTTTTAGAATCCCACAACAGAGATGCCTATGTGTGAGTGGTTCACAATTCATTAGCTCACTTTTTATTTCAGAGTGATCAGCTTCTAATCCACAACCCTCAGCTATCCACATTAACACGTGGATGCAGAAAATTTCTGACTTATCAAGTTCTGATACTTGAGACAAGACCACACTTAACAACTGACCACTGTTCTTGGGGCAAATGAAGAAAGCAGAATACTAACAACACCACGTTGAATTCACACCTCTACCTGAGCTACTTGGCTGCTGCCCAAAACAGAGGCCCTGTTCCATGCGTCTTTAAAAACCCATATAGGGGGCAGTGGGTAAGTGCACCAAACGCTCTTCCAGAGGACCTGAGTTCAGTTCCCTGCACCCACATGGCAGCTCATAAATGTCTTTAACTTCAGTTCCAGGATATTTCCAAAAACCTGACAGCATCACAATCTTAGAAGGGAAAAACACCACTTAAAAGAGTAACATATGAGCTTATCTATCTGGACATAGGTCACAATGTATTCATTCCAAATTGAAAAACTATTTCAACTAAAATTAAATTTGTATAAACACCAAAAATCATCTTGTACAACATTATGGCTAGAAGTTTGTGGCAGAGCTCAGTGAGGGAGGTCTTGCTGGAGTAACGCCATAGGGCAAGAACCTTTGCTGTGGGTCACAGAAGCATTGCTGCGGCCTCTGACTGAAAACTGACCTCACTCCTCATTATTCCCGGGTCCAGGGTTCTTAGGAAACAGGGCTCAGAGTGTCTTCTTGCCTTTGCGGAGCTCCTTTGCTCTAGAAAACGGGTTTCATGATCGTGCTTTTAATATAAACCATCATTAAAGGGAGATAAGTATGCCATCTAACTTTCTGTATGTTTCTAATGTTCTCCTACTAGACACCATCAGCCAAAGTTGCCCTCTTCCCTGTACTGTGACTCATTATAGCCATTTCGTGTGAGCTCTGCCCAATTCACTACTTACAGCCAACCTATGCCTCCCCGCTCCTGTCCTTCTCCTGCTTTACACCTATGTAGTACGGCGTGTGTTCTTCCTACACTGTTAAGCATCTTGCAACAAACATTCTACTGTAATTTACATAATTGTTATATATTTTTTACATTTTTGTCTATTCCTCTAACATCTTCCTTTCTCACGTACGAAGACATTTTACCAACTTTCTAAATTTTCCTAGGAGTGTTTGAATGTCATAGGTGCTTAAAGTTGCTGGATGAATGGTTAAATGAATGGATTTTATGTACTGGTCTCTACGCCACAGAAAACTGCCAATTGACCCGGTGGCTTTAGATGCTGGAGCTCCAGTTCTGAATGTGTTAGAATCTCCGCACACATCCAAAGAGAAGATGTCCAGAAACCAATGACTATTTTATTATTCTCGGTTAATCTAATGTTTATCCCTAACTGCCTTGGTGAGGGGACATGAACTGAAAGAGGCTTTCTGTGATGAGCTTGGTGTTCGGGTTTCACTGCGCTCCAAGCAATGACCCGTCCAGCTAGTGTAAACAAGAATAGAGCCCAGGATCTTGACACCAAGTGTTGAAGCCTTCCCACAAGAGGCCCAACAATGGCCGAAACTGGCAGAATTATTGTTGAAACTGGCAGACTTGCCAACCGTTGGCTCCTGACAGAGTCTTACTCCATTGCTTGCTGCCTTTCTGGACAATGGAGCTAGGTCATCTGCAAGAGCAAAACGCTGGGCAGTGGAGATGAAAGAAAGTAAGTCAAGTATTTAAAAAGATCGCCTGTGGGGAAACACAGATTTGGTTCCACAGGGGAGAAAAAAGTTTAGGAGGCCTTGAGTTACATCCCCGTCCTCTGTGAGTCATTAAACTCATTAATGCCAATCAGCAAGTATTTAATAAAGACTCCAAAAAGAAAGCTCTCAATGTCCCTCACGTGTTTTATAGGTTTATTAAACTTAAAACAAAATCAGTATTTTATAAACTCATATGTATATATATTATACAGAAACAGAACAGATTCTGATACACACACACACACACACACACACACACACACACACGAGTGAGTCATGATTAAATAGAATCTTGATCTGTCACAATGCTCCATGTTTGACTTCCACCAAACGTATCTTTTTGAGTTGCTATAACTCACAAGTTATAAAAATAACAACCAACCTTTTGTTTGACATTGGATTTGACATTTGCTTGGCAATCATAGAGCCAACCATTCATTCATGAATACCACAGAGGCATTCACTCTGAGTCCAGGTATTTATATAATTCAATTTTGGGAAGGATAAAGAGTGATATCCGTTATATTTGGATATATACAGTGTGTATTCAGACATAATGAGTGAAATAAGCATCTAGTTCCTATTTTACCTTATCCTCTAGTAGCGAGGTGATGAAATTTTTAGACCATAAGCTGCAGACTGCACTGTACTCGTTCCGCTCTACACGGCTGAAGCGCTGCTAAAAACCAAAATTCAAAGGATTTCATGTTGCCCTTCTTTTCTGTCATTTAATTCTCAAACTTTCTGACTTCATTTGAAGTGGTCATTATTAGGTACGGTATTTATGATTAGATTATCATAAAGCATAGAGAGAGTCATGCCCTAAGTTTAAAACTTAATCCTCATTTAGTGTATTCCTAGAATGCAGAGATTTCCGCTTGATTTTATTTTGTAGGTTTTATAAATAATGTATCCCAAGAACGTATATGCTGAAGCATATGATAAGCAAGACAGTGCAATACTGTGCAGTGTGTTTTCTGCATTCCAGGTAGCATACACCAGGAAATAAAAAGCAACATGGTGCCAATAACATTTAAAAAATAGCAATAATATCTAACAAGTGAATTTGATTAAATTGCGCAAAAGGCACTTAAAATAAATCACCCATAGGAAAATATTTTAATGAAATTTCAAGTCAAGTCCTTTGAGTGCAAAAATGATTAATTTTTCAATTTGCAGAGTAACTTCACTTTCTCAAGTAGCACTGATCTCTAGAGTGACAAATGTATTCTTCTTCAGAAAAACAAGAATAATTGTACCCAGATAATTATTCTTTTTCATCTAGATTCAGCAGAGGAAACAAATACTTTTGAGAGTCTCTAACAGAATACCTAAGAGGTTGAATATAGTCTATTTAAATATTTAATGCTAAATTACATCTGTGAAATTTGCTGTGCATTTTGAATAGTTCAATAATTACTGCAGTTTGCTCTTCATTGCATAGAAAAATCTTGGTACTGCATAGGGTGGATGGTAAATCGTGTGATACAGCGTGTTTGACTCTTCTGTATGCTGGGATCTCTTTACTCTGTGAAGCATTTCCCTGCAAGCGATTAGCACCAATGACTAAATAACCGCCTAGAAAGTGTCTGAATCGATGTTGTAATTTATGATGTCACCTATATACAATGTTAGTTATCATATTTGATAAGAGTCATTTCTACTAACTTCTGTTGAAAATTACTCACTTCAAAAAGTTTAGCAAAGTATTTTTTTTTTTTTTTGAGACAGGGTTTCTCTGTATAGCTTTGGCTGTCCAGGAACTCACTCTGTAGACCAGGCTGGCCTCGAACTCATAGAGATCAACCTGTCTCTTTCTCTCCAGTGCTAGGATTGAAGGTGTGCGCCACCACTGCCCAGATTAGAATAGCATTTGTATGCATCATAGTTTGGTCAAATATTTAAAAACATTTAACACAATCTAAAGTGTTTTACATTTTTTGTTTGTTTGTTTGTTTGTTTGTTTTTGAGACAGGGTTTCTCTGTAGCTTTAGAGCTTTAGAGCCTGTCCTGGAACTAGCTCTTGTAGACCAGGCTGGCCTCAAACTCACAGAGATCTTCCTGTCTCTGCCTCCAGAGTGCTGGGATTAAAGGTGTGCGCCACCACAACACCCAGCAAGTGTTTCACTTTTGAGGGAATCCAGTATATCACACTTGCTACAAGTAGCAAAATGAAATAAAAGCTTGGAGATCTATGTAGAAGTTGATGAATTAGAAATGAAAGAAACAAAATTAAAGAAGGAGGCACGAATCAGAACGTCTCACCTAAATTAACAGTAATTATTAATGACTAAGTGAAAAGTCTGATATAAATTCAAGTCAGAAATGAAATTTGAATTCTGAAAGTAAAAGGAACTATGAAAGACAAAGAAACACTAAATGAGTTCAGCAGGCTGAATTTATATATTTAAATGTATAGTGTGTGTGTGTGTGTGTGTCTGTGTGTGTGTGTGTAAGAATACACAAAGAATGAGAAGCCAAGAATTTGAGAATGAATAGAGGGAAGTGTGGAAGGAGCTGTGGGGATAAAAGAGAGGGGGAATGGTGCAAATACTCATATATGAAGTTCTCAAAACCTAAATAAATTCATTTCAAAAGGAAGATAGAATGAAATGAGAATAAGCAAAATAACAGGATAAAATCATAGGCTAGATCAGAAGATAAATTGGCTCAGTAAGACATATTTTGCCACAACAATAATAAAATAAAAGTCCACCCCCAAAGCGTGTCATTTAGGGTGGGGAGACACTAGGATCATGACCATGGGTGATGTATACTACAAAGTGTACTTCTTTAGTTAATAAGTAAATCTAGTTGTCTCGAGAAATAAAAACTTATTCTATGTTTTTGGGTACTTGGGGTTAATGGTTAAACCTAAAAGTTACTACCTAAGATAATCTCTGAGAAGTGTCTATTAATTTGTGAAAAGTAAACAGATTTACTGTCTTCTTGGAACTCAACTGGCCAAGACAATGGTGCCACTTCTAAGTGGTGGTATATTAAGAGTCTAAGCTGTTGACACATTCCGGTTTCTCAGGATGGCTTCTGAACAGACAGTCATCACATTGGAAGGATCATGGCTATTTGGTAAAATTTAAGTGCTTTTTACCAAAACTATCAGGCAGTATGAGGTGGTTCAGCACAGCCATAAGTAATAGAAGTAATGCCTGTTTCCCAGTGTGCTCAGATGTTCTGAAAGTGATCTCTTTACCGCCCCGTAGCTCGTGAGAGCATGCTGTATTGATAGATTAGGTTCAAACTCCCAACAATAGCACAAGAGGGCAAACAAGCCATATGCTTAAATGAAGTGGCCATCTTCTTCAGAAACTACCAAACTCTAAGCATTCACACTGACATTACCCACCCCTGCAAAAAATATATATGTAAAACTTTCTGTTCTGAGCCTTAGCCCCAAATAAGCAGCATTGATAGCAATTTTATTCAGAGGCACATTTCCCTCTGTGGATCACTATAACTAACAAGTATCAGAAACTTGTTATTGATTCAAATTACAACTTTTCTGCTTCCATTGGTCTCAGCAGTAATTATT